AGGCTCAGGGACAGCAGCCTCAGGAGGAAGGGCCCAGCATGGCACACAGCACTTTAACCTGCCTCACCCCCTTTCTGTCCCAACCCCCAGGAGGTGGATCACTTCCAGTCCTTCTCGCTCCCCAGGAAACTGAGGGCAGCAGAGAGAAGGGCCAGTTCCCAAAGCGCAGGCCCCGCCTGCAGGCGGGCCAGCATCGAACCCGAGTCTGAAGCGGGAGCACGCACCGGTCAGCACCCCGGCTTTCTCGGGGACATTCTCCCAGCCCCCCACCCACCTCCTTTTTCCGAACAAGGTCATGGCAGGTGGGGCCCAGACCCTGCTGAGGACTCTGGGTGCCCTGGGCTAAGACGGGGGACAGTCACCAGGAGCCCCGCCTGCCCCCTGAAGCACACCTCATCATACCTGTCACCTACCACCTTCTGGGGGGACCCACAGAGCCCACCGGGACCGCCATGACCTTCCCGTGCGGAAGGGCAGTCCTGGGAGTGACGGTTCACAGTGCGCGTTTGCTCAGCAAATATTTATCTCAGGCACGTGGAGCCTAGGCTGACGTCCGGTCAGGTGAAACCAGGGGAAAGGCTGGGCCAGGAGGAGCGGCCATGCCGTGGCAGCTGTGTGGCCTTGAACAAGTTACTCAGCCTCTCTGTGCCTCAGTTTCTCCATCTCTCAGTGCTGCCACGCCATGGCTCCTGTAGGATTAAACAAGCCAATATCCTGCGGAGAGCAGGCATTCAAACACATGGCGGCTATTATCAGGAATCACCCCTGCGATACTGCTCTCCCGAGAGCCTGTAGGGAAGTGAGATGCCGACAACCTCCGCGTTCGCTCCTCCGCAGGCCAGACGCCGTTTTTACCTCTTCACTTCGTAGGGTCCCCACAAGGAGCCCTCGAAACAGGCAGGTGAGAAAACCGCGGCTGGGGAGACTGCGGTGGATCCCCCACTTCCCGGAAGACGCGTCCCAGCCCCGCCCAGGACGGCTCCACCAGGAAGCCTGCCGGGGGGTCCCCCCAGGAATCCTGCCGCCCCCCCCCCCCCCCCCGGGCCTGGTGTGGGACACAGCTCACCAGCAAGCAGCCCGCTGCCTCCTCCGGTAGAAACCCTTTTCCCAAAGGCTGCCGGGAAGCTCGGAGCCGACGCGCAGCAGCAGCGGGTCCTGGGGCGTGTGGGCAGCCTCTGGCCCCCCGGCCGGCCCAGCCCTTCTGTCCATCCCACTGCGCCTCCCTGCCCGGCAGAGAGGAGCCCGTCCGTAGCTGCAGAGCGCGTGCTCGAGTCTGATGCCGCGCACCTGTTCCACGTTCTCTCTCTCAGATCTCCGCGGAGCAGCAGCTGCACACCACGCACCCCAGGCCCTGGGGCAGAGGGAGCAGAAACACCCCTTGCTGCGCAGGGCAGGCCGAGGGGAGCAGCAAAGGGAACACGCAACTGCGGGGCCGGGCCCATCTCTGCTCTCGCCGAGCCCTTGTTAGTGTCCCTGCCCCCACCCACAATGCAAGTGGGCCGCTGGCCTGATGCATGCAGCTCGAGCAGTGGTTCTCAACCTTCCTAAAGCCGCGACCCTTAAATACAGTTCCTCATGTTGTGGGGACCCCAACCACAAAATTATTTTCGTTGCTACTTCATCACTGTCATTTTGCTACTGTTATGAATCGTCATGTAAATATCTGATATGCAGGATGTATTTTCATTGTTACAAATTGAACATAATTCAAGCATAGTGATTAGTCACAAAAACAGTATGTAATTATGTATGTTTTCCGATGGTCTTAGGCGACCCCTGTGAAAGGGTCATTCAACCCCCAAAGGGGTTGCGACCCACAGGTTGAGAACCGCTGAGCTAGAGCATGGTCCCCTGGCTATGGATTCCGGTGTCGGTGGCTCCTACCCACCCAAGTCTGTGAGGGAAACTAAAGGCCAGAGAGGTAGGTAAGGCAGGTCGCCCCACCTGCCGACAGCTGTTGCCAAGGCCCCGAAGCAGATTAGCCCGCGGACGTGGGTCCCAGGCAGCAGGGGGCACCCAGGCCCGCAGGTGTGGGCCACCACCCTGTGCGGCTCCAATTGTGTTTCCAGAAGAGCTCGGCCCCCAACGTGATCAGAGGGCAGGGGGCGCGCTGCCCGCAGCGCCTGCTGGCCACTTTGATGTGAGGGCGCCCGAGCCCCACGCCCCCTTTGGCGATGCTCAAGAGCCGTGCGGTGTGCCTGCTGCCCACTCTTTTTTAAAGCGAGGAATTGTCTAACCTTTTAATATGAACCAGCAATTATCTCCAAGGCAGGAAACCAAACCCGGGCTGTTCTGGTGAAAGACAAGATGCCTCCCTGCTGTGCTGAGCAGAGGAGACCACATGAAAGGACCAGCCCGCTCGTCGGGGCTGCGCTGAGGTTCCAGGAACAGATTGGGTCCCGGCCTGCCCCCCCCCCCCCCCCCGAAGCTGCCAGGGCCTGGGCCGCGTGTGGGAGGGAGCCCCGGAGGAGCCTCGGGGACACTGGGCCCCATCGTGCAGACCCTGACCGGTGGCAGGTCCGGCCCAGCCCCTGCCTCTGTGCCTCCTGCCACCATCCACAGCCCTCGTCCACTAAAGCCCAGGCTCCAGCGACTCCTCGGGCCTGCCCACCGAAGGGCTCCCTGAGTCCTGGGCCTCCCTCCCCAGCAGTTCCCACAATCCTCCACGTACGCGGCCCTGCCTGTGGTCACCCGCTTCACCGCCCCCTTTGCAGGAAAACTCCTCGCCCCCAATTCCTCCCCGTCCCCTCCTTCTACATGTTAATATTTGGAAAGTACAAAAGACAGTGTAACATAAACCTACATCACTAAGTTCTTAAGGCAATGACCGTGCCCCCCACGCAGCCAGAATGTGAACACCGTCCAGAACGTGCCACGTATGACCACGGGTCCTACCCACGGTCCTGCCTCCCCAAGAGGTGGCCCCTCCCGGGACTGCAGGCTCCCGTGCCCTTGAGCTACAGGTGACTGTACTGCCAATGGGTGCACGCCCTGAAGGCGCATTAACTGTGGTGTTTTTTTTCTTGGTTTTTTTAAAAATATATTTTATTTATTTTTTTTTTTACAGAGAGGAAGGGAGAGGGATAGTTAGAAACATCGATGAGAGAGAAACATCGATCCGCTGTCTCCTGCACAGCCCCCACTGGGGATGTGCCCGCAACCAAGGTACATGCCCTTGACCAGAATGGAACCTGGGACCCTTCAGTCCGCAGGCCGACGCTCTATCCCAGAGGTCCTCAAACCTTTTAAACAGGGGGCCAGTTCACTGTCCCTCAGACATTCCACACATGCACACTGCGGGCCGGGACGCGTCGGCTGCTAAGCAGGACAGGCAGCGGCGGCAAAAACACCCGGCGGGCCGGGTAAATGTTTTCGGCAGGCCGCAGTTTGAGGACCCCTGCTCTATCCACTGAGCCAAACCGGTCAGGGCTTAACTCTGGTTTTGAATTTTACATAAGTAACACTCTTCTGTATGGCGTCTCCTGGAACTTGCTTTGTTCACTCGACGTGTTTCTAAGATCCCTTCACGCAGCTCTCCGAGGCCGGAGGCCGGTTCGGTGCTGTGTGAGTGGAGCTCCTCGGCGTGTGCGTGCTGTCCAGGACGTGTACATTGTGCCCGGCTTTTGCTCCCTCAATGTTCTACCCGCTGGCCCACGTGGGCAGGGGTCGCTCTTCAGTGTGTCCCTAGCAGAATAAGGTGCCATATCCAACGACCGTAAAGGATGCCAAACTATTTTCCCAAGAGGCTGTGTCCATCAGACTTCCTCCAAGCACATCTGCGGGTTCCAGCCACTCCAAGGGCCAGACCTGCTCGAGGCTGTGAAACACATCAGTGCAGCCTCGCCTTGCATCTCAGATCACGGTGAGACTGCACGTCTTTTCACGTCACTACGGGACTTGGCTTCTCTGTGAAAAACCCGTTCAAGCCCATTTTCTATCGGTTTGTCTTTTTCTTGCTAATTTATAGGAGCTTTTCACGTGGCCCAGACATAGGTCCTTACTCAGTTACACCTGCTACACACACTTCCCCAGGCGGTGGCTTGCCTGTCTGTGGTGCCTTTTATTTTTTTAACTTTTTTTAAATATATTTTCTTGATTTTTTTTTTTTACAGAGAGGAAGGGAGAGGGATAGAGAGCTAGAAACATCGATGAGAGAGAAACATCAATCAGCTGCCTCCTGCACGCCCCCTACTGGGGATGTGCCCGCAACCAAGGTACATGCCCTTGACCGGAATCGAACCTGGGACCCCTCAGTTCACAGGGTGACGCTCTATCCACTGAGCAAAACCGGTGCTGGCTGTGGTGCCTTTTAAAGAAAGTTCTTACGTGTCCTGAGTTTATCAACATTTTCTTTTCTGTACGTATAGTCTGTGAAGTGCTTCCAAGTCTGCGTTTTACACCTAAGGCCCAGGGATCCTCCTGCCTCTGCTCCATCGGGGCCGCGACCCCAGCCCAGGGGTTCCTGACTTGCCGCTATGCTGGATGACTCCCGACCCCCGTCCCTGATGCCCGGCCAGAGCCACGGCAGCCACGGGAAACCACAGCTGGGACAAGAACACACGCTCGTCGCCAGCAGACTTCCCCCAGTGCAGCGTGGTGGCCTGGGCGGGGGCGGGGACACAGAGCACTGCAGACAGGGCCACCCAGGGGCCCGCCCTGCACCAGCAGCCCCGCCCGAGCCCAGCCAGTTCTCACTGGAACAAAGGCTCAGAGGCTGGCACCTTTGAAACTGGCGGATGGAACCTCTCAGAGTGTCAAGAGCCCTGCACAGTCAGAAGGCACCAGAATGACCATGCTCAAGGGTGGAGCCAACCTCTCCAACCAGCCCTGCCCCCCAGGGCCCAGCACAGATCGTCCAGAGCAGCGGTTCTCAACCTGTGGGTCCCGACCCCTTTGAGGGTCGAACGACCCTTCACAGGGGTCGCCTAAGACCATCGGAAAACACATATATAATTACATATTGTTTTTGTGATTAATCACTATGCTTTCATTATGTTCAATTTGTAACAATGAAATTGGGGGTCACCACAACATGAGGAACTGTATTAACGGGTCGCGTCATCAGGAAGGTTGAGAACCACTGGTCCAGTCATCTGCTCGGACGGTAAACGTCAGGGAGACTTCTCTGTGACAAGATGTGAAGCAGGCGGGGTGGACGCACTGTGCGGCTCTGGGACCTGCACAGGACACCCCACCCCGCGGTGCCTGCTCAGCCTGCAGCCCAGACGCTGAGGCAGGGCCACAGCCCGAGACAGGCAGCCTGCGGCCGGCCAGGGGAAAGCAATGAGCCTCCTGGGGTCACAGAGTCCAGCTTGCATTAAAAATGAGGCCAACAGAACCCGATCCCACCATTAGATGGCGCTGAGACCTGGGGTGGAACCCTGTGGGAGGCTGGCAGCAGTGGAGGGGGCCAGGGAGGGGGAGGAGTGAGCAGGGCAGCAATGCAGGGGGCCTCACCCCTGACCCAGACAGCAGGGCCCTGTGAGGCCAGGTGGCTGTGGCCTTCTAGCCGCTGCTCCAGGATGTCCTCCTGCCCCAAACCTGCCTTCTGGAAAGGCAGCTGCAGAGGGGCCCAGGCTGGGAGTGTCCTCACAGCCCCCACAGGTCCCCCACACCTGAGGGATTTCAGATCCACTCCAGGACCAGAAAGTGCAGCGTGTGTGGGTACAAAACCACCCCCAGGGTTTACAAACCCCGAGCACTGGGGCTCGTGACGTTTCAGAAGCTACTTTTTCAGTTAAACTTTCCTCTCATCCCATTGTCCAGACAGGAGACCACACATCCCTTCCCAGGTGGCCAGCACCTGTGCCCTCGTGGCTGTGCAGTGCCCTCGGCAGACATCACTAATCCATCTCAGCAATGCTTTCCACGGAGATCCCGGTCCTCAACAGAGGCCTCCAGGAGCGATCGCCAATCACTGAGCCGGCAGTCCACAAGGGAACCACCTGCCATCTGGACCGGTGGTGGATCACATGGCAACGTGGCCTCCACACACTGCTCACTCCTCCCCCCACACCCTGAGGACACACAGTAGGACCACTCCTGGCTTATACACGCCTTTATGCAAATTAGAAAAAGGTGGCCCCTGCCTCAGGTAGACAGCCCCCCGCCACAATGCACCCCTGTGCCGTGCACAGCTGAAAGGACCGGAGGAGCAGGACAACTGTGTCGCAGGAAAGACAACCTCATTCTTTGCAAAACTCATTGATATTGGCATTCTGACCCATAAGGAAACACCCAATCACATTCACACAATTCGTACAGTGATAAAACAGCCAAGGCCCACTTCGTGCGAAGCCACCAGGATCCACACTTACTGGCCTGAGAAGCTGCCGGCGGCCTGTGCGGGCCCCACGGGGCCTCTGGTCCCTGAAGGCCGCCGGCAGCAAAGGCACCACGGAAACTGCAGGGCCACGAGGAGGCCTGCTTCTTGCTGTCAGACCGTCTCAAAGGTCCCTGTGGAGTCACCCTCTTCCCGCACTCAGACAAGTAAAAGCAGCTCACGTAAGGGCGCAGCGTGGACGCGGCCGAAGCGCCCACCGTGCCGCGATGCTGCCGACAGAAGCTGCCTGCTCCGCTCGGCAGCGCGCAGGCCTCGGCTCTGTCGCTTCTGTCACGGCCTCGGGGGCGGAGTGGCTCTGTCTCTCCTTCGGGCCGCAGCTGCCTCTCCCAGGACCCACGTTGGTCCCCAGGCCACGTCGCCATCCGCCAGCCAGGGAGGCACACGGACGTCACCTGCACAGCTGCAGGTGGGGGTGATGCCGCAGCTTGGCCATCAGCTCCTCCTCCGTCGGCTCCTCCAGGACCTCCCTGCGGGACCGGGAGAAGGTGTGCATGGCCCTTCCAGACAGCGAGGTGCAGTCTGGGCCAGCCCTGCCCGCTCCCTGCGTAGGGCAGCCTCCTACACGTGCACAGGGGACGGGCGAGGGCAGGACCGGGGACTCGGGCACATCTGCGGAGTGTGCCTGGCGCTCCCGAAAGCCCCGGTGGCTGCTGGGGCGGGACAGGGAGCCACTGTGACGAGGCAGCCAACGCCCATGAGGGAGGCGGTCACCTTTCTCCACTAGGAGAGGAACCAAGGGTGGTGTCCTCGGTCACCTGTCCACGTCCCCCCACAGAATCACCCGGGGACTAACAGCACCTCAGGATGTTTCCACGAATATGCTCAATGGAGAACAGGACAGTTCACAGCCAGGCGGCAGGAGCAGCGGAAGCAACAGACCCCGACCCTAGACCCCAACCCCAGACCTCAGGGAGCTCGAGCTCCGCCAGAGGGAGGCCAGGAGCCCGGGCTGTGGGGGGGGTCACTGTCACAGAGGACGCCTGCCCCGCACCTCCCTGCCCCCTCCTCGCCCAGGGGCCGAGCAGCAGGCCCTCCCGCCTGCACACCTGAACAAGAGGTCCACCGCGGTGATCTGGTCCCCAGAGCGGGACTGCAGCTCGCCTCGGCGGTCCCACTTGTGGAGGAAGTTCTGGGGAGCGGGAGGGTGGAGGGGGCCAGTGGGTGCCGGCCCTGCGTGAAACCAGCCTCACCTCCCCCGCCCCACCCCCGCCTGGTGTGGGACATGGGAAGCCCCGGTCCAGGGCCAGCAAGGCCACCAGCTCCTGGGAGCCACATGTCTCCCAGGGCCCTGAGGACACCCTCAGGTCAAATGTCAGGGCTGTTCCCAGACCCTCCCAGCAACAGGTGAGCTGCACTGAGCCCAAGGCCGCCCGAAGCCCCCAGGACTCCCCCTGTACCTCCAGAATGAGAGCCAGAAACAGGTTGATCCAGATGACAGACGACACCAGCCACCACAGCACAAAGTAGATCTTGGACCACCTGCGGAGGACGAGGAGGCGGCTCACGCAGGCCCACCGTGAGCACAGCGAGACCCTGGAGGAGCGCAGACCCCGCCACGAGTCTGGGACCCGCGAGTCTGCGGCAGCTCTCGCTGGGTCCTGCCCAGTAACCCCGTGACGTCCTCCCACTTTAGAGATGCCCAGAAGCCAAGACAATGAGCTGCCCAAGGCGGCAGGGCCAGCAGGAGGTGGAGTGGGGCTGGGCTGCGCTCCAGGCTGAGCTCCTCCTCCCTGCTCCCCCCAGACTTCCCCTCCTCCACCCAGCTCCCTCCAGGCTCCCCTCCCAGATGCCCACCAGCACCCCCAGGCACCCAAGGAACCCCCCAGGTGTTTCCAGGGCCTGTGCGGCTCCCACACATCCCCAGCGACGCCAGGTGCCACCCAGAGTCCCGGGCAAGGGTGCGGGAGGACGGGCAGGAGCCGGGCGGGTCACTCACGGGCCCGAGTAGCGCTGATAGGCGTCCAGGAACACCTGCCAGTTGTTCACGACCATCACGTTCCACAGCGTGACCAGGGCAGCCTGTGGGCAACGGGCACGGTCAAGGAGGGTGCAGGAGGCAGGGGGCCGGGGGCCGGGAAGCAAGGGGGAGGGACTCACCGCAAAGTCGTCGAAGTTGTTGGCCCAGTACTCCAGCTGCTCGTAGCTGCCGCAGGGCGCCGAGCCGTTAGGGGCCAGGCTGGGACACAGGCGGGTCAGGTGGGGTGTAGCACATGCACACCAGGCGTGCCCTACACCCCCTCAGCCCCTGCACAGCGTGGAACCCTCTCTGGGCCCCCAGAAACAGGCAGAAGAAATGCCCCTGACCTCCGGAGGGTCTGTGAGGGCAGCTGGGAGGCAAGAGCTGTGGCCAGCGGTCAGCTCTACACTCACAGCCCTGCCAGCACCGGCCCAGTGGGGGGCCTCGGCAGGGAGTCTATGGGGGGAGCCTAGGGGAGCTGAGTGGAGGAGCTCAAGGTCCAACAGGGGTTGGGAGGGCTGCTCTGAGCAGATATCGGAACAGTCAGCACAGACTCTAGACCAGAGGTCCAGGGGGGAGGGGAGGGCAGGGGACAGGGAAGAAAGAGAAAGAGCAGGAGACTCCTCTTGGAGAGCTGACCCACGCGCTGCCGAGGCCTCACACCTGTGCTTACACCCGTCCCACCCCCCTCCCCCCCCCCAGTGCTCCTTCGGCACCTTAGGCCCCACCTCACCTGATGTTTCCAGGAGGAGGCACAATGGCACCCCGGAACAGGTTGATGCCAACGATGGCAAAGACGTAGTACACCACCTGCGGAGGCAGGGCTCGGTCAGCGGGGGCAGCCCCGCCCAAAGGAGGACAGAGCCGGCTGGCCTGTGAGGGTTCCCAGCCAGGCCACAGCCCCCAACCATGGGCGCTGCTACCCCCACAACACTTGGCTCTACTTCCAGACACCCCCCTCCTGGCCACCCACCTGCCCCAGAGGCACAGGACAGTGGCTGAAGGGGAGAAGGGAGGAGTCACCACCGGGGAGCCCCACAGATACACTGGGGCCCAGGGGGAGGCCAAGGAAGCGAAGGCTGCCTGCCCCGTCAGGACCAGTGTGGCAGGGAGAGTGACAAGGAGGACTCCACAACAGGGTGAGAAGCTGGGCCCGGGAGGAGCTGGTCCTGGGAGGAGCTGGTCCCGGCAGAAGTTGGGCCCGGAGGAAACTGGGCCCAGGAGAAGCTGGGCCCGTGAGAAGCTGGGCCCAGAGGAAGCTTGGCCAGGGAGGAGCTGGTCCCGGGAGAAGCTGGGCCAGGGAGGAGCTGGTCCCAGGAGGAGCTGGGCCCGGGAGGAGCTGGGCCCGGAAGAAGCTGGGCCAGGAAGAAGCTGGGCCAGGGAGAAGTTGGCCCCGGAAAAAGCTGGTCCCAGAAGAAGCTGGTCCCGGGAGAAGCTGGGCCCAGAAGCTGGTCCCAGGAGGAAGCTGGGCCAGGGAGAAGCTGGTCCCAGGAGGAACTAGGCCAGGGAAATGCTGGGCTAGGGAGAAGCTGGGCTAGGGAGAAGCTGGTCCCAGGGAAGGAAGGGGAAGATCAGGCCTCTCCAGGCAGAAGTCCCACCATGTTTCCCACATCCACCAGGGGGCGTCCAAGGAGCACCACCCAGCTTCTTCCTGAAGGTGCCAGGCGGACTGGGGAGCGGTGCACACTCTGGACTAACCCAGCCCCCTCCTATGCCTCAGTTTCCTCCAATGTGCAAATAGGGGTCTGGGACGGGGCCTGATGCAAGATCCTATTTCTAGCCTCCTGGAGGGCCTGGGCTCCCCCCAGGGGCTCCCCACCCCCAGGGTGTTGTTCAACATAAAGGACAAAAGGCCACCAGCGGCACCATCTGCGCAGCAGGGCTCTCCACCTCCTCACTGTCACCGAGTACCCGGCCACGGGCCTTGTGCCTGGGGCAGCAGCAGGGCCCCCTGACCAGGCTGGGCCAGGGCAGAGCTGATGGCCCAGAGAACAGGAGGGATTTGAAAGTGACTGAAAAGCTGTCTGGCACGAAGGGGCCGCTCTGGCCTCCTGCCCTGGTGCTTCCCCCCAGCTCGCCCACCACAGCCCACCTCCCACTGAGTGCCCACCGCACCGGCCCCATGGCGCAGACTCACCACCAGGATCCCGCCGAACGCCCGCATGTTTCTGATCAGGCCCAGGATGGTGCTGGCCACCACAGCCATCAGCTGAGGGTAGGGAGAGAGCAGAGCCACTACTCCTCCTGGTCTCACTAGGGGGCGCCAACCCTGCCCATCACCCCCCTCTGCGAGGGCAGGTGAATTAGCACCACCCCACACACCTGTGCACACACACCCCCACATATACACATATACACACACACACCTGTGCACACACACCCCACATACACACACACACACACACACACACCTGTGCACACACACCCCACATACACACACACCCGTGCACACACCCCCACATATACACACACACACACCTGTGCACACACACCCCACATACACACACACACACCTGTGCACACACCCCCCACATATATATACACACACACACCCGTGCACACACACCCCACATACACACACACCTGTGCACACACCCCATACACACATACACACACACACCCCACATATACACACACACACACCCGTGCACACACCCCACATACACACACACACCCGTGCACACACACCCCACATACACACACACACACCTGTGCACACACACCCCACATACACACACACACACCCGTGCACACACACCCCACATACACACACACACACCCGTGCACACACACCCCACATACACACACACACAGTGCACACACACCCCACATACACACACACACACACCCGTGCACACACACCCCACATACACACACACACACACCTGTGCACACACACCCACATACACACACACACACCCGTGCACACACACCCCACATACATACACACACACCCGTGCACACACACCCCACATACACACACACACAGTGCACACACACCCCACATACACACACACACACACCCGTGCACACACACCCCACATACACACACACACACCCGTGCACACACACCCCACATACACACACACACAGTGCACACACACCCCACATACACACACACACACACCCGTGCACACACACCCCACATACACACACACACACACCTGTGCACACACACCCCACATACACACACACACACCCGTGCACACACACCCCACATACACACACACACACCCGTGCACACACACCCCACATACACACACACACACCCGTGCACACACACCCCACATACACACACACAGTGCACACACACCCACATACACACACACACACACCCGTGCACACACACCCCACATACACACACACACACACCTGTGCACACACACCCCACATACACAAACACACACCCGTGCACACACACCCCACATACACACACACACACCCGTGCACACACACCCCACATACACACACACACACCCGTGCACACACACCCCACATACACACACACAGTGCACACACACCCCACATACACACACACACACCCGTGCACACACACCCCACATACACACACACACACACCCGTGCACACACACCCCACATACACACACACACACACCTGTGCACACACACCCCACATACACACACACACAGTACACACACACCCCACATACACACACACACACACCCGTGCACACACACCCCACATACACACACACACACCCGTGCACACACACCCCACATACACACACACACACCCGTGCACACACCCCCACATATACACACACACACACCTGTGCACACACACCCCACATACACACACACACACCTGTGCACACACCCCCCACATATATATACACACACACACCCGTGCACACACACCCCACATACACACACACCTGTGCACACACCCCATACACACATACACACACACACCCCACATATACACACACACACACCCGTGCACACACCCCACATACACACACACACCCGTGCACACACACCCCACATACACACACACACACCCGTGCACACACACCCCACATACACACACACACAGTGCACACACACCCCACATACACACACACACACACACCCGTGCACACACACCCCACATACACACACACACACACCTGTGCACACACACCCCACATACACACACACACACCCGTGCACACACACCCCACATGCACACACACACACCCGTGCACACACACCCCACATACACACACACACAGTGCACACACACCCCACATACACACACACACACACCTGTGCACACACACCCCACATACACACACACACACCCGTGCACACACACCCCACATACACACACACACACCAGTGCACACACACCCCACATACACACACACACACCCGTGCACACACACCCCACATACACACACACACAGTGCACACACACCCCACATACACACACACACACCCGTGCACACACACCCCACATACACACACACACACCCGTGCACACACACCCCACATACACACACACACAGTGCACACACACCCCACATACACACACACACACACCTGTGCACACACACCCCACATACACACACACACACACCTGTGCACACACACCCCACATACACACACACACCCGTGCACACACACCCCACATACACACACACACACCCGTGCACACACACCCCACATACACACACACACACCCGTGCACACACACCCCACATACACACACACACACCCGTGCACACACACCCCACATACACACACACAGTGCACACACACCCCACATACACACACACACACACCCGTGCACACACACCCCACATACACACACACACACACCTGTGCACACACACCCCACATACACAAACACACACCCGTGCACACACACCCCACATACACACACACACACCTGTGCACACACACCCCACATACACACACACACACCCGTGCACACACACCCCACATACACACACACACACCCGTGCACACACACCCCACATACACACACACACACCCGTGCACACACACCCCACATACACACACACACACCCGTGCACACACACCCCACATACACACACACACAGTGCACACACACCCCACATACACACACACACACCCGTGCACACACACCCCACATACACACACACACACACCTGTGCACACACACCCCACATACACAAACACACACCCGTGCACACACACCCCACATACACACACACACACCCGTGCACACACACCCCACATACACACACACACACGTGCACACACACCCCACATACACACACACAGTGCACACACACCCCACATACACACACACACACACCCGTGCACACACACCCCACATACACACACACACACACCTGTGCACACACACCCCACATACACACACACACACGTGCACACACTCGTTACCCCTACACACACTCATACATACACACACACCTGTGCACACACCCCACAGCCACCCCTACACACACACACACACACACACACACACACAGCTGTACACACCAGACAGCCATAGGCACCCATTCGCCCCCACACATCCAGACACTTTGCCCGCCCAGCCTTGGGTCTGGGCTCCAAGTCCCCGCAGTGCGGCACGTGTGCAGGAAAGGCCATGCTGCCCTCCAGCCGCTGAGGCCAGGCAGCTCCTCTGGGACCAAGTCTGGGAAAGGGCCTCAGAGATGCAGCCAGGAACCCCGGCTACATGGCTGCTCCCCACCCACACAAACCTGAGCCCCATTTCCCAGCTGACACATTAGAATATCATAGCTGGATGCTGGCAGGGGAAGCCAGTGTGCATGTGCACATGTGCATGACTGTGTGTGTATGTGTACACATGTGTGTGCATGTGTGGGGTTGTATGTATGCAGTTTGTGTATCTGTGCATATAGCTGTGTGTATTTGTGTATAGTGTACGAGTGTGTGATTGCATGTGTGTTGCATGTGATTGTGTTAGTTACATGCACATGCATTTCTGGGTATGTATGTGTATACAATTGTCTGTGATGACATGTGTATAATCATGTTATTATGTGTGTTTATGTGTGTGGTTACCTTGTGTGACTAATTGCATGTGTGTAGTTGCATGTGTAAATGTGTGGGCTGTAGTCATGTGTGTGGTCATATGACTTGTGTGGGTATGTGTGTGTTCACACAAACATGTGATCACATGTGCCTGTGTGGCATGCACAGACTTCTGGGCGGCAGCCCCGCCTGCGCCCAGGACCCTGAGCCGCCCTGAGGTGGAAGCCCCGGTGCAGGGAAGGCCCCGGACACACAGAAAGGGGCTGGTGTCCTCGCTGTCTCTTCCCCTGAAACGGCCCTGGGAAAACAGACGGCGCAGTAAAGTCCACTTCCGTTCTGGCTGGGCCGGGCCTGAGCCGCTGCCCACCTCCTTCCCCACCCCTCCGGGCCGATGTCACTCCCGGTGGGGACCCTGAAACACACCGAGGCTCGGAGACGCTCACAAGCCCCCCATCCTTGCACTTGGGGTCCTGGAAGTGAGCGCTGCGGTCAAGCCTACCTTTGCTCTCGTGCCCAGGAGCCACTACGGAGCCCTTGCCAGAAGCCGCTCAGAAACCTCGGGACCCTGGGAGCATGTGGTCCCAGGGGCTCCGCCTGCCCTCACACCTGCCAGGGCCCCGCGAGCCGGACACTCCCCTGCAACAGTCCCACCGTGCTGGCCTCCGCCTCACCCCCAGCCAGGTGAGGGGCGGGGCGCACCGCAGGGTCTGGTCCCTCCCTGCCCAGGCTCCCCCTCTCCAGGGAACGAGGAGCAGTGTGAGCAGGACGGGGCGGCGAGGGGCGGGTCGGCGGTGCCACGGACCTTCATGCTGGGGATGATGCGCAGGAACCGGAACACAATGAGCATGTTCACCAGGCGAACCATGTCCCACAGCGACAGCAGGCCCCGCAGCTCCGGCTTCCTGGAGAGACACACGGGAGATGGGTCGGGTGAGGCCCAGGACGCCAGCAACTGGACACTCATGGTTGAAAACGGAGAAAGGCAGATGCGGAGAGAGCGAGGGGGAGAGTGAAAGAGAGTGAGGGGGGGCAACAAGAACTTGCCCATCTCGGACTCCAGCCAGAACCCTCACCGAGACCGAGGGCAGAGTGGTCATGGACTGTCCACAGCACCGTCCCGCACGGCGCCCGACCAGCTGACCCTTTGTCTTACATGGGACACCTCTGAGGTTCCAGACCCCGGACACTCAGCTCAGGTCCCAGCAGAACTGGGCGACTTGGCCCGGCTCCATTCCTTACCCCCTAACCCACATTCACATCCCTACCTCCGACCCCTTCCCCAGCCCTGACTCCTATGTATCCAATTTCCTGACCCCTTCCTTTGACCCTATATCCTGCCCCTGACCTTGTCCTATCACCTGACCCTGTCCTGACTCTACCCTAACCCCTAACCGCGTCCTATCCCGAACCCTCCCTCCACCCCCATCTCCTGACTCCACCCTGTCCGTCTCCTGACCCTCTCCCTTGCCCACCAGCTCCTGACCTTGTCCCCCGAGCCTTAACCACATGCCCCACCCTGACCCCTTCCTCTAACCCCGTCTCCCGGCCCTTGATCCTGTCCCATCCCCGGCCCTTTGTGTCCCTCATGGCCTCACCATGCCCTCCTTTCTATTTAAATTTAAACCCACGCTCACCCGGATGTCAGCCCCGGAATTCTCAGACAAAAGGACACGTTAGACACCGGAGAGCTGGCCCCCATGAAGCACCTGTCACCCCGGGCCCAGCCCCTCAGGCTCCAAGGACAGCGCCAGCCCAGCGACTTCCCAAATCAACCCTCCCAGCGGCTCCCGCAGAGCTGACCCCAAACAGCAAGCCCTTCAGGCCCGTTCTCCACCGAGAGCAATTCCCAGCTGCTTAGCCCCAGAGGGACCCAGAGACCAGAGCCGGCCAGGGCCCGAGGCCAGCACGTGTGCCTGCCGGGCGGCTGTGTTCTGGGCAGCACGACCCGAGGCTGCCACAGCTACATGGCAAGATACTTGGGGCCCTGCCCCCTCATCCCTCTGTGCGGCCAGAACCAAGGGCCCTGGGGCTCCAACAGCAGCGATCGGCGAGCCCCAGGCCCCGCCCGTTGCCGTATGGAGAGGTAGACTTCGCCCAGCCCGAAGCCACAGGCCTTCCAAGCCAGAGGAGGGCTGCGCCCAATGCCAGTGCCCACGTCACCCATCCCTGAGCTGGGGCCTCCCTGCTCCAGCCCGGCACCCCTGGGCCACACGTCCGCCCATGCCAGGGCTGGGCCCACTGCCTCAGAGGGGCACCGACAGCCTCCTGCCAGCGCTCTGCGCACTACGTCCTGACGGTGAGTCAAGAAACGTGAGAGAGGCCCTCAGGGGGCGGACCATGAGCCCCCTTTCCTAACAACCGGGTGTTTCGCCCGCGAGTCCCAGCGGGACGGTGGGCCACCCTTCCCGGGTGCTAGCCGGGCGGGTTGCTGTAGCCGCCCTCGGTTCTCCAGTCACATACCAGCCTGGGTGTGGGAATCGGTACACAGCCAGAGTTGAGATCTCCAAAACCTTTAATTACAAAAGAAAAGAAGGCATCGCTACAGCAACGCTCACCCGGGCGGCTCTGGGAAGACCTAAAACTCAGCCGAGCAGGCGCCCCACAGGGGGCCTCGGGGAGCGTCGGAGCTCGGTCCTGTCCCCACGGTTGGGTTCCATGCTGGGGCTTCCCGAGGCTGAGAAAGGCACTGTGGTCTCAGGATCGGGGCCACACTCGTGAGGGGGGACAGGGGAAAGGCTGGACGGGGTGGGGGGGGAGCCACTTGGTCAAAGACGGCTGGAGGCCTTTCTCAAATGAGCCCCACTGTCCCGAGGGGCCCACGGCTCTCAGCAGTCACACAGGAGCACGTGTCGCACTAACTTCGCTGTGACCCACGGGGCGACCCCACCCCCTGCTGCTCTGGGGAAAAGCGATGGGACATGTCAGACCTCCCCCCTCCACCCACGTCATCCCACTGCCCTGAGTGGCATTAGAGGCTGTGCCTGGGGCAGGAGTGACCAGGGGGATCTGTGGGCTTGATCTGGGCCTCCCCCAGGGGTCAGGAGAAGCAGCCTGACACCCCCCCCACCCCCCGCCCCATGCTCAGACACTGCAGACCCTCCCCTGCCCCCACCCGCCACCCGCCAAGCAGCTCGCTGGGGAAAGCCAGGCCCTTGGTCCCTGGAGGCAGGAGCCCAGGACTGTGGCCCTCGGGTCCCCAGCGCAGAGCCAGTGCGAGTGCCCACCGCCTGCCCAGGGAGGCAGCAGCGGCCCGCGGACTCACCAGCAGGATGGCGGTGAGGAGGCCGTCGAACACATTGCTGGGGTAGGACAGATACCCCGACAGCCCCAGCGCGAACACCTTGAGCAGCATCTCCGCCAGGTAGTACAGGATGAAGACGCAGTTGAGAATCTGAAAGGGGCCCGCAGGTGCCGGCGTTCAGTCCCAGTGCCTCTGGCCTCCCCGGCTCCCCCTGGCCATTCGGTCTCGAGCCCCGGCTGCCCCCTCGGGTCCCTCTTTCTCCCCGACCCTCCCTCTGCCGTCCGCCCCGCTAGGCGACTACACTGCGCTCACCGGGGCCTCTGCACCTGGCTCCCGGCCTGCACCAGCCTCGGCCAGCCTCCCCCCACGGCCTGCCACCCCCAACTCGGGGGCCCCATGACACCAGTCCCTCGGAGCTAGAGTGGCCCTCCTCCAGCAGACCCGGAGCCCCAGCCGAGGCCGGACAGCCGAGCGGCCTCAGAGCTCACCCCCAGCATGAAGTCGTCACGGTCTTGGGGCTGGACACCTGCGTCGTGCACCAGGAACACCTGCAGAGCCGGAGGGAGAGGCTCGCAGCCCGGCCCAGCACTGGGCCGACCGCAAGGCCACGGTCGGCCGTCGGGGGGCAGGGCCAGGAACCCAGGAACGAGACACCTCCCGGGGCCACTCGAGGGCACGCCTGTGCTCACACAAATGGACACGAGGTTCGCAAGGACGATGACGTTCCCCAGGTAGTCAAAGTAGCGGTGGCCGAACAGGAACTGCGCGACCCGCAGGAACGGGGACTGGTACTCGGGCCGTGGCGGGTGCTGGGGGGACACATGCTCAGAATCAGGGCCGTGCCCCTCATCCTGGGACCCGACGTCCCTGCCCATCACCAGCCCACGGGAATCATCACAAAGGCACGGTCCCTCCCACGGAGACGCCACCACAGTCTTTGTAACAACGGAGGCAGCAGTGCCCTGAGCGTGCCTGGCGCCGTAAGGAACCACAACAAAACAGCACGTAGCCATCTTACGTGTTTGCCACGATGTGAAAAGCGTCATGTGAAAAACACAGATAAACTCTATGCTGAGAAATACGAAAGCATGGCGCAAGCAAGAGACAGGGGTGGGAAGTGATGGAGGGCAATTTGGCAGTAAACACAGACATGAGACACTGGGAAGAGGTGTGGGTCCCTCATGTAGCACCAGGCGTGACAGGACCACCCCAATGTGCCTCTGAGTGGACGGGGACACAGAGGTGAGGAGCGCGAGAATGCCCGCACCCGCCCCGGCCCACAGCGGCCACTGACTGCACGGGGCTACTGAGTTCACGGGCAATCAAATAAAATACAGCCTGGTGGTGTGGCTCAGTGGTTGAGCGTCAACCGATAAACCAGAAGGTCACGGTCCATTCCCGGTCGGGGCACATGCCCGGGATGTGGGCTCTGTTCCCCCGTGAGGGACATACAGGAGGCAGCCAGCAATGACCTAGAAAGACTTTAGGAAACTCGTCCGTAAGGAACCCGCCCTGACAGGAGCCGGAGGGAGACCGCGCATGCTGCAAAGCTGACAACTTTCACCGGCTGAACTGTGTCCCACCGAAGTGCCCACGTGGGAGTCCTGACCCCTAGCACTCAGGACGTGCCGTATGTAGAAAAAGGCTCTCTAAAGCAGCGGTCGCCAACCGGCGGCCCGCGGACCACTGGTGATCCGTGAGGTGCGAAAGGTGGGCGGCCGCTGCTCTAAAGAGTATTAACATAGAAGGTCAGGAGGCGGCTCTAATCCCACAGGACTGGGGTCAGGACACAGACACACACAGAGGGACCACGTGGGGACACAGGGAGAAGATGCCGTCTACACACCCAGGAGGGAGGCCTTGGGAGGAACCAGCCCTGGACACCCGGGTCTCGGACTCCCCCGCTGCCTGCTGCCCACACCCCATTCTCGAAGGTCAAATGGTTGGACCAGCAACCCCTCCCCGGCCCTGTACACCTGGGTCTTGGACTCTAGTCTCCAGGATGGGGACAGTAAACCCTGCTGGTTGAGCCGCCAGCCGGGCACTTGTCGTGGTCGCTGAGCTGACTGAGCAGCGGCACAGAGCTGTGCGGAGTCCGGCCAGCCGACGTCAGACTCCCCCACTGCCTGCTGCCCACACCCCATTCTCAAAGACCGAGTGGCTGGACCAGCAACACCCCCGCTCACCCCCCCGACCCTGAACGGCCTGTGAGCCCCAGCATCTCCAGGAAACCCTCTACATAAAAGGCAGGCGGGGCGTCTGCACATGGTGCTGAGCAGACGCCGTGGCCCATGCGGGGGTTTCACCCATGAGGTCAGGACAAAGACCGCGGCTTTACAGCTCGGAGCCCCCGCAGAAGGACATGGGGAAGAGGATGTTTGTCACGGAGACAGAGAGCCACTTGGAAGGTTCCTCGGTGGCTTTCATGAGGGCAACCACACCTCCCAGCTTCCAACAGCCAACCATCTCCGTCCCTTTACCGTCCTAGGGGCCAGAATCCCTGGGCAGGCCAGTCCCGGCACCGGCCACCACGTTACCCAGGCGGTCAAGCCCTCCGCCTCTGCAAACTCCCCCCTGACCCTGGGAACCCTGGCCCAGTTACCTCCTTCATCAGACTTTTGTCAAGCTCGTTGAACAGCTTCTGAAACTCGTCAGCTGACAGCAGGCCATCACCATGGGAGCGCACCTTCTGCAGAGCAGGGAGGCACAGGTCAGCGGGCCAAGGCCAGAGCAAGAGGGTGAGCCCCCCACCGTCCCAGACGGTCTGGCCCCCCTGCTCTGAGATGACACCCGTCCTGATCAGGGGCTGCTGGCTCACAGGACCACCAGGAGGAGCATGGCCGGGGAAGCCGGGGAGGCCGGGGAGGCTGGGGAGGCCGGGGAGGCTGGGGAAGGCGGGAGGCCAGGGAGGGCGGGGGCTGGTACCTCCATGATGGCCTGCTTGTGGGTGCTATCCACCTGGACTTTCTGAAGCACCTGCAGGAGGTCCTGGGCCTTCACCCCAACTCTGTGGGGAAAAAGCACCCACACCCAGTGAGCTCACTAGCTCAGTCCCCCAGGCGCCTGACCTCTGGCCTGAACCACGCAGCCCTGGGCGATGGCAAGGCCTCCACATGAGCAATCGCGGGCATCCAGCCATCCTCTAACATCCCAAGACACTGTCAGGTCCTCCCCGAGGAGGCGAGAGGCAGGTCCTCCCCAAGGGGGCGGGAGGCAGGTCCTCCCCGAGGAGGTGAGAGGCAGGTCCTCCCAGAGGAGGCGGGAGGCAGGTCCTCCCCGAGGGGGCGGGAGGCAGGTCCTCCCCGAGGAGGTGAGAGGCAGGGCGCTGACGGGCAGCCTCCAACCAGGCTCAGTGGGGACATGGCCCAGATCCCTCTGTTTCCAACACCCAGCTTGGGGCCCAGGTGTGTGGGGAGGGAAGGGTGTGGAGGGAAGGGTGCCGCTGGACCCCCTGGAGCACGGGACGGGCAGGGTGAGGAGGTGAGCGGGCGGCGTGACACGGGAGCTGTCAAGTCCGCAGGGAGCTTGCGGGGTGGTGTTTAGCTCTAGCCCCAGTGCGCACCACGGCCCCCCCAGTGTGCACCACGGCCCCCCCAGGGAGCCCCGCTTCCCCAGGGAGCCCCGCACTCACCCCTGAGGGCGGGCTTCTCTGTCCGCCATCCAGGAGAGGACCTCGTAGGCAGCCCGGGTCCCCAGCCGCTTCCGGAACAGTGAGGCCTGGACAGATTTCTGCAAGGAGGGTGCCTCTGAGTGGCCGGCCCGGCCCAGCAGGACAGCACAGCCCTCAGCCCACAGCCTCTGAGGGCCACCCCGGTCAGGACAGTCACAGGACAGTCACGGTTTCGCAGGAAGGAGCTGAGCCAGTCCCTAGGGCATGTGTTCCCTCCCGTGCAGTGGGGGTCCTGGCTCTCCCACAGGAGGGTCCAGAGTCCATTGCCCTGGCAGCTGTAATCTTGTCACTTCCCTCAGAGGAGCAGGAGGCGGCACAGCTCCAGCTCATCCACAGAGGGAGCCAGAGGGCAGTGCAGAGACCACTGTGGACCCTGCCCCCACGGGGACCTGGCCAGGCCCCCACAGCCTGCTTGGCCTCAGGCCGGCAGCCTCGCTCACCAGCAGGTAGCCCCGGAACTGATTGTAGATGATGGCCGTCAGCAGGTTCATCAAAAACAAGCTTCCTTCAGGAAGAAAACGCCTCGGTCAGTGAGGGGCAGCAGCTGAGGGGGCCTGGGGCGTGCCCAGAGGTGCAGAGGGTCACACGGCACAGCAACCCCAGGGGTGCCAGCAAAAAGGGCCCGGACGATCGCAGAGCAGGAAGGGCCTGGGCACGTCACTCACTGTCCTCATCTACACAGTGCAGGTGCCACCCGGCCTGCCCAGCGTGGGCACTGAGGACAGCGGTCTCAGTGGTCGCAGACTGCAGACAGGGCATGCCCCCCGCCCCCAAGGTGAAGTCACAGGGTCGGGGACCCCCCCCCCCGAGGTGAAGTCACAGGGTCGGGGACCCCCCCCGGGGTGAAGTCACAGGGTCGGGCAGCACACCTACCCCTGAGCATCAGAGGGGACAGAATTTTACCCCAGTGGCCCCTCAGACCCGCCCAGACTCACCGATCAGGGTGAAAACTATGAAGAAGATGGCAAAGGCCCGGTTCTTGGAATACGCAGGAACCATGACTGAGGAAGAAATGAGAGAAACTGAAACGGGCTCACAGCTCGGCACTGGTCCCCTCCTGCCGGCCCAGACCCTTGGCCTTCTCTGGAGCGGGCTCTGCTCAGGGAGAGCTGGAGCCTCCTGGTCCAAACTCTGACCCTGCCGCCTCCGCTCGCACACCCTGGTCACGGGGAGCTCACTACCGTCAGGATGCCCACCCCTTCTGCTGAGCTGACATCTGCCTCCTGCGACCACCCACAGGCTGAGAGCCCAGCTCTCCCTCGGGGACGGGCTAGGGCTCTCAGGACCTGTGGGCACGGGGCCGAGTCCCGCGGCTGCTCTGCGGGCAGAAGCCAAGGGCTGCGCTCCTGGGAAGGTCTCTGTGGTGGTGACCATCCCGAGTCCAAGACGAAGAGACCAGCCCAGGTGGCCGGTCACAGCCGGGCCTTAGAGGAAGACAGCCACCGTCCTGGCCACCCCTGTCCCGAGCAGACACAAGCCCCATCAGCAACCCAAAGGGGACGCCATGGCCAGGGACAACCCGGGGCCTCACACACACACAACTGCTGAGCCGCACCTCACAGCTGGGGAAATGGTGGGGCCCCAGAGGCCAGCAGGGGACCCCCCGACACTGCCGTTCCTCACCACATAAAGAACAGCTTTTAGCTTCTCAGAGGAGTCAGGAGAGAAGGGGAAAGAGGAGACAGGGAACAGTTATAAAAGGAGGGACGAGAAAGTAAAATGAAAAGGGAAGAAAAAAGGGGGAAAGGAAAACAAGAAAGGAAGGAAGGCGGGAGGGGGGATCCAGGTCACCCTGCTTCCCTCCGCCTACTGAGCTGGAGGCCTCGGACACCCCGGCTCTCGGCTCCGCAGGAACCAGGCCTCCCCGCCTTGCCCGCTGGCCAGCCCGCGCCCGCTCCCGCCCAGCCCGCTGCTCACGCACCGTCAGGGTTGTTGGCCGTGGTCAGCAGCACCAGCAGCGAGGTCAGGGACTCCGCCAGGTCGCGGAAGTAGATCAGCCTCTCCCTGTCCTGCCCATCGTCCTGCTGAGAGCAGAGGGGGGCAGCCCTCAGGAGCCACGCGGGCCAGCTCTGGCCGTGGGCCAGCAGAGCTCCAGGCCCTGGACCCAGCCAGGGGGACCCTCCTACCCACAGCCAACCATCCGCTCTCCTCAGCCCAGGCCGCTCCACGAAATCAGCAACCCTCTGGGCCCAACTGCTGCGGGCTCTGCAGGGAGCAGCAAGGGCGGCCACTGCACAGCCCCTGGGGCCTGAGAGTCTGCCAGCTGGTCCCACCCAGACACACACACACACACACACACACACACACACACACACACGGGGTGGGGGGAGAGACAGTCCTCAGTCTCCCTTGTGGGCAGCTCGGCACCAAGCCCCAAACACTGCCACAGGCTAATGAAGACCAGCGACCAGCCCTGGCCAAGCACTGGCCACATTCCCAGACAGAAATGCAGGGCAGCTCTGGCCTGAGGAGGACAGTGACCTGGCCAGGAAGTGAGGACACACACAGGACCACAGATGTGCGGGCACAGGGGCAAGCGGGTGACGGGGCAGGCACCGCCACACAGCAACAAGCTGCTGGGGGCCGGAAGCAGCAAGGGCAGGAGCGGAGGGGACCAGGCAAAGCCCAGGGCTGGAGAAGAGGGACATGATGAGAGGTGCCTGCTGGACAGACGGACAGGTGCTGTGAGAGGGGCCATCCCGCTGGCCCCAAGTGCCAATCTGAGGGGCCTGTCTAGGAGGGTGCAGAGAAAGCCCAGAGCCTGGGGAGGAGAGGGAAGAGGAGGCAGCCAGGCAGAGGCAGAGCGACCCGGAGCCCAGGAGGCCCGGGCAGGGGAGCAGTGGGCCAGCTCTAAACCGCGGTCATCTGAAGCAAGACAGCGGACTGCAGGTGGGCACCACTGCCCTGCCCGTGAGGTGGGCAGGCAGTCCTCTTCTCTGCTGACCTGAGAACCACCCAGCGGGGTTCCCACGGGGCGGACTAACAGAGGGCCCACCCCGCCATCAAACCGAGCAGAGCGGCTGAGGCCGGTACCTTGTTGCCGGTGAAGAGCAGCATCCCGAGCATGGTGAAGACACACAGGTGCAGCGCCAGCAGCAGCACCACGCTGGAAGGACAGGTGCGGGCTCAGCACCGGGCAGGTGCCCGCATGCCCAACGGGATGGGGGTCCAGGGACCCAGCCACCCGGGGAGCTCCCGCAGCCAGCCTCAGGGCAGGTGCCCTCTCTGCCCCACAGCCTGCCATGCACCCGGCGGGGTCCTGCCCTAACCAAGCCTCTTTCTTTGGCAGGGACAACCCACAACCCAGGGGCACGTCCCAGGAGTCCCAGGACCCCAGGGGCTGGAGGGTGAGCCATGAGGGGAGCCCCAGACGCCGACCGCAGGGCAGGGAGCAGGACAGTCCGTCCTGCCTGCACGCCCGGCGCAGCCCACCTGGCCATTTCCGGCAGCGACCACCGGATGCACTTGAGCATCTTCTTCATCATGGAGGAGTTCTGCAGCAGGAAGAAGGGCCGCAGGAGCCGGCGCAGCCGCAGGGGCTGGAAGAGACCAGGACACTGAACGCCAGGCCGGACTTTCAAGTGCCACCCACACCCCACACCTGCCATGGGAGGTGGGCAAACCACAGAGACCCTCCCAGGCCACACGCCCCAGCTGCTTCCCTCCCGGCTCCTGGTCACAGCCCTGACCTAGACTCAGGCGTCCTCGCTGTCCCAGCTCGCCCAGCCCTGCAGACATGCAGTGCCCTTCCCGAGGGGGCGGCCCCACACCTCACAGAGCAGCCTGCACGTGGCTCTGGCAGTGGGGCTGTCCCACCCCACAGAGAGCCTCATCTTCCTCTGGACTCCCAAGTTCAACCTCTAATCCAGGCTCTCAACCCAAGTCACGTCCTACGGGTGACTTGTCTTAGAAACGTAAGGCTGGCCATGTCACCTTCCGGCCCCAGCGTCCAGGGCTGCCTGGGCCCTCCAGCCCAGCCCCGCCGCCCCTCACCATCCCGTGGCACGGCACTCAGCCCCCCTCTGCTCAGCCAGCTGCCTGTCCCTGTCACCGTCCCTCCCGTCTCGGTGGAAGAGCCACCTCCTCAAGTGCTGCCCTGGGCCCCTTTCCCTGGCACTGAGATCCCAGTACATATCCGGTGTTTCCTGGGACTCCAGTCTCTCCCCACAGCACAAGGGCCCGCAGCACTGGCGCACAGTAGGCCCTCCACCTGGCAAGGATGCCCTGCACCTCCCTGCGCGGCACTCCTCGCGGAAGGGCCCCTGCGCCCCGCACAGCACCTCGAAGGCCAAGGAACCCGCAGTACACGGGCACCCACACCCTGCCCACGGCCCACTGCACAGGAGCTCCGTCCCAGGCCCAGCCAGAGTCCCGCAGTCTCCCTCCAGGTGCCGCTGGCACCCCCGGTCTCGGACCCTTGGCTGTGGTCAGACACAGACCAGAGTGCGGCTTCATCCAGACACAGAAACCCAGTCCCCAGCGCTTCCCAAGCTGAGGCCACGTCAGGGCAGGGACATGCGAAGCTCACAGGGGTGGGAGGCACCGCCATGCGGCTCGCCTGCAGGAGGAGCCGGCCCAGCGCCTGGGAAGCCCTGGCAAGGCCACCCGGCACTGCAGCCCAGGTCCCAAGGCTCTGAGGAGGAGCCACCAACTGCTCTACAGACGCTAGTCTCCTGTGAGCAACAGCCACGCTGAGCCGTGACCATGGCCCCTCGGTGACCTGCAGCCCACATGCAACCCGCCCTGCTCGGCCTCAAGTTGGGGGAGGAACAGGCCGTCTGGTAAGCATGGAAGTGAGAGGGGGCTCAAGCAGGTCAGAGGCCCCAAGGCCTCCCAAGGGCCCCGATGCCAGCGGGAGTTCCTGCTGACCAGACAGCTGGCCACGGAGACAAACCTCGGGCCTGGTGTGCAGACAGGTCTGGGTGTTGGGCCAGCCCCAAGCAGAAGTCAGTCCCTAAGAGACGGCGCTGAGGAAAAGCTCTGCCGGGGGCAGGTCACTGGACTGAGAAAGGTTACGCTTCCTGGTGGGTGGTCAGGGCCTGGAGGGAACAGACTGGACGACCGGGGACGAGGACGTCTGTGGAGGACACGTGTGGGCAGGAGGGAACCCACCCCAGGGCATCCCCCAGCAGAGGCTCTCTGGACAGGATGACAGTCTGTGGATGTCCCAAGCCCCTCAACACCCCACTCCGATCTCCAGGGACAGAGGCCACTACCGAGGGCCCACCCCGCCAGAAGCAGAGCCCAGGCTGGGCCCCATGTGGCCCCTGGTGGGTGGTGACTGCCCAGCCCTCCCCCCTGCAGGGTGCTGCTCTGCCCACTGGGCAGACAGGTGTGCGGGTTCGGGCTCTGCCTGCCCTGCCTGAGGCCTCTCCCAGGACCATCCATGCCTCAGGGCCAACCCCGCTTCAGACCAGGGAAGAGCTCACAGCCCTCGCCAGCCTCGCCGCGGACCCTCGCCCAAAGCAGGCGGCCTGTGGGCAGGCCCAGGGCCCTAGGAAGGCCCAGGAACACAGAGCGAAAGAGATGGCAACACCTCCGCTCCCTGCCCCCAGCTCCGGGCCTGCCGGCTGGGAATACCTGCTTCTAAAGGGGGTGCTCCCCCCAAGGACACACCATGACTCTTGGCGAAAAGGGGCTGGGTGCCAGCGGGGTGAGTGGTCCGTTTCCAAGGACAGATTGGGGGGCTACCGTCCAGTAACCAGAAGCAGGACCACCGAGCACTGAGGCCCCTCAGGAACGAATGTGGCCCCCCCCACCAGATAACGAACCCAGACCAGCTGGGAACACGTGGGTGGGAGCAGGAGGAAGTTACAGATTTCTGTTAGGACCAGCGACCAGCAGCAACACAGACACGGCTGTGTGTATTAGCCAATCTTCCTCCCAGCGTCATCCAAGGATTGGGGGTGGTGAGGGTCACAATTGAGGCTGAAGTGACAGAAGGTTCGAGTGGCCGGTAACACGGACGCAATGACGGCACTCGGAAATGGAGCCAGTGGAGGCGCCTCCCAGAACCAACCTCATCGAGCCTCTGGGCAACACCAGAGGGTGCCCTCCCCAGAGGTCAGAGGGCAGGTCCCAGCTCTGGGAGCCCGGGGTGGGGGAGGGGGTGCTTCCCGCAGTTCTCTGAGTTCCACTGGGTCCCCTTTTTGCTCTTGCAGTTACTCAACCCCTGCTTAAGTCCCTGTGTTAAATTCCCTCCACTAAAGCCCCTGGTGGGCCTCCAGCATTGTGTCCCTCACCAGCCCTGACGGACACGACGTCCTCAAAACAACTTTCCCAGCTCTGTCCCACCGAACCACAGGGCAGTGCTCCTGGGTGCTCTGAGGGGAAGCGAAGAGGCTGCAGTCAGACGGGCAGGGCCGCCTGCTCCCATGGGATTTCCTGTCGGGGTCACAGAGCTCTGGGCGTGTGGCTAGGGTGAGGCCCTGGGGTGGTGCTTAATGCGGGACCCATCCAGTCAAGGAATCAGCTTAAAGGCGTGGAGCAGGAATCGGGACCCTGGAACATGCTCCCAGGTCCTCCCGCCTTCTCCAGGCCTCAAGGTCATCACCAGGTGGGAACGGGCTCCCTGGACAATGAGTGACGCACGGCTATGCAGGGAGGGCTATGCAGGGCAGGCGGAGCGGGAGCCAGGAGCTGGGTGGGTGGGTGGGTGGAATGACTGCAGGACCTCAGGACGCCAGCTGTTCACCTGGGCGGCTACACTGGCCTGCCCAGAGCTCCCCACTCCACCCCCAGAGCCAGCTCACCACCTACCTCCTGGCAGACGAGACTCAGCGACACCATCCAGTCCACGAAAGACAAGACCAGCACCACCAGGTAGGCCAGCAGCCACAGGCTCTTCCGGAACTGGGGCCACCCAACCAGGTAGCTCTGCAAGAGAGACAGTGGGTGAGTGGGTGGGCGGTGGGCCTCCGTGCAGATGGCCCTGCAGCCAGCTGAGGCTTTCGGTGCACACGGCAAGGCTGGGTGGCCGGGGCAGAGCACCTTCAGCAAGCAGCGAGGTCTCTACATGACGTGGGGAGCAAGAAACAGGGCTCCCTCCCAGCCCCCAGTGACCTCAGGCAGCTGAGGACCTTGAGCTTGGCACCTAACAGCTCAGGCGCCGGTTTCCTCATCGGTAATGCGGTCCCTGCCAGCTCTGCCCATCTGTTAGGGGCTAAAATAGAATATGGGAATAGAGCTATGTGAAATGTTAATCATGCTCTGTTAACCTTGATCGTCTTGTTCTAATTAAAGAATGGACATGCTAACCTGGCTTGGAGTTGTACGGCCTCTGGGACCTGAGGGTCAACCTTGGACCTGGCAGTAAACCTTGGAATGAGATCCATTCTCATTCAACAACTGCCTATTATCATGGGAAGATTAACAACCCAGATGCCCAAACAATGGGGTCCCACCCCAGCCTGCTCTGCCCACTTCCCCAGGCCTGTAATACCCATTTTGCATACCCATCCTTATCCCCTTTGCCTACTTCCCATGTAACCCTTATCCTACCCAATATAAGCAGCGGGGGAGGGTGCGGAGCAGATTTTCGTGGATGACCCGCTGCTCTCCCACGCTGCCGGCATTACTGGAATAAACGCTCATATATGATTCAACCCTGTCTCTGCTGAATTGGCATGAGTAGTGGCGGGCAGCCCAGACCCATTGGTATACCGTCCAGTGTCACATCCAACCATTTGTTTAGTTTGTGCGACAAAATGCAAAGGCACAGGACTCACTGTAGGAAAGACTAGGAAACAGCACCTAACTGCTATTTCCAACCATCACTAGGGCCTTCAGGTGAACTCGGTCACCTTTTGAGATTTCCCCAACATCCAGACCATTCAAGAAATGCTAATGAGTACTTCTCACCAGTTTCAGTTCCAGTTTAAAAACCCCCAAGACCTCCTAACCACAAAATGAGCTAAAAAGAAGAAATAAGAAACTGCCGAGGCCCTCAGTCACAGACGCACCCACGCCTCTTGGTCAGCATCCCAGGCTGACCCACCCTGCCCTCAGCAGGACTGCCCGTCAGGCCAAAGGCACCAGGCATCGTGTGACCCGGAGCCCACAGACGAGAGCAGCCCACGCTGTGGGCCAGGCAGAGCGCTGGAACCCTCGGAAGCGCTGGAATCCTCGTTTGAGGGCCCAGCCCCTCCTCGCTTTAAGGCTCCAAGGCTCTGACCCAATCAGACGCTTAATGAGCAAGGCAGGGCCAGCCCCAGCTCTGCATGGACTCAGGACACAGACAGAATCGAGAGTCGGACAGGAGGCAGCAGCTGCTGCATAACCGACCCCTTTCCACCCCCTCCTCCCCCCCCTCCGCCCCCACCTCCTTCCCTGGACTGTTTTCACGCTGAGCACCACACAGCCTCTGCTTCGAGGCCCAGAGTTTTCCAAGAAACTGAGGCCTCTGTTCAGCGGGTCAAAGTGCACAGGCTGCAGATTTGGCGGACAGCTCTGGGGGCGTTAAAATCAATGAGAGCCCCGGCCCGGTGGCTGAGGGGTCCTGTACACCAGATGGCTGCGAGTTCGATCCCTGGTTGGGGTGGGCACAGGAGGCAACCGATGGATGGACAGACACATCAGTGTCTCTCTGTCTCTCTCTCTCAAATCAACTTTAAAAAAACAAAAACATCACTGGGTGAGAACTAACAATAAATAAACCAGAAAAGCAGCAGGCAGGTCGGGAGGGTGCAGGGTCCCGGGCTCCGCACCCGCCGCCGGCTCACCTTCACCGAGAGGTCGGTCGCGAAGCCCAGCAGGCAGAGGACCTCGATGCTCTCCGTCAGGCCGCAGGGCGGGTTCCAGGGCTTGGAGCGGTAGCGGACGTCCGAGGTGCTGGTGAACGAGGAAGGGGTCTCAATAAAAGCCAGAAACAGGATCAAGAAAATGATGAAGCCCAAAATCCTGGAAAGGGAACAAAAAAAAGATTACAACTTGAGAACCAGCCACACTCTGGGCGAAAAACCAGATGGGCAGGCAGAACCCCCAGAGCGCAGCAGGGCGGACGCCGCGGTCCCCAGGCAGAACCACAGCTCCTGCCCTGTGGCTACCCGTGTGCTCAGGTAACTCAAAGGGAGTTGAAACCATTAGCATGGCTGCCCGGAATGTTCGCCCTCCTGTCTACCGTCCACTCCTTTCCAGTAAGGAGGGCACAGAGCATCTTCTCCACCTGGGGTCAGCCCGCCCGCCTGGACCTGAGACAGCCGCCCCCGCCCAGCCAGGCTTCGAGAACTCCGAACCCCACACATGTGCGTTCTCACCACTGGCAAGCGTCCGAGTAATACCATCGGTAGAGCCACATCGACCTGGTGTCCATGCGGTGGTTAATGGAGCGATACTGGAAGTGAACGGTCATAGAGGGGAGCGTCAGTGAGGGTCCCCTCGGTCTCAGTGCCACACAACACAGCCAGCCGCATGCGGGCCCAGGATGGGGGGACAGGTTGTAGGGTGAGCTTCGACTCAGCAGGCGGGCAAGATGCCCCACTGTGACCCAGCAAAGCCACACCGTGCCAAGCAGACAGAGCACATCCCAAGAGGCAGACCCCTAGACAGGCAGGTCCACCAAAGGGAAACTCGTTTTCTGAATGCACAGCTGGGCCCATGTGCCTGGAGGCTCTCCCCCCTGTGCGAGGCCCACACCCTGCCCCCACTTCAGCTGTCACCCCCAGGAAGCCTGCAGCCTAATTCCACGATTGGGCACAGCTCGCTTCCATATTCTATTCCCCTGTTCCCCTGCGTGTCGTTTGCAGGCAGGGGATGGTCTTGCCATCTTCGGGCATCTTTCACAGGAACAGGAGGAGGCGGCAGACAACAGGTCTGCAGTAGGCAGTAAATCAATACAGCGAATGACTGGGGACTCAGAAGAAATCCCAGCGCCCACTTTTAGGGTTACGTGGACCACACAGTCTACCAACCTCAGCCTTGACCCCAGCAGAGCGAGGAGTAAAGGGCCATCGGGGCATCCATCACCCAATGCCCACAGCCCCACAGCCAGACAAGCCCAGGCCCCGCCAGCGGGAGCGGGCGCTGCCCACCTGGATCGCGTCTTCGATAAAGATCACAGCCTGTTCAAAGCACAGATCCCGCCTGGCCTCGGCACCTGGGGGCAGAGAAGGAGCACCTGGGTGAAGAGGGATCACACGATGCCCACCGCTGCAGCGTGACGGACGTCGAGGAAGGAACCTGGCTCCGTTCTCTCCCCAGGCTCCGGATCAAGATGCCTTTCACCTGCTGCGTGTCCACACCCGCCCAGAAGAGGACCTCACTCGGCGCCCTGCCCAGTGTGTGGCGGGGCCTGAACAGGGACAATGGCTTTTCGCTGTGTGCCAAGTACTCCGGTTCCTGCCCCGTGACCGAATCCCTGGGGAAGAAATGGAATCTGGGCCTGGAGAGACCGAAGGATACAGCTTCTGAGATAAGAGACAAGCAGCCGGGGCCCAGGCTCGCTCCAGGCCCAGGACCAGGGTGCAGCTGAAGGGGCTCAGGCCCGGGCAGGCCACTACAGGCCAAGAGTACAGGGCACCCCGGAACCGTCCAGCACTCGTCCAACACGATCGCCTGGCTTTGGTTGTTGCTGTGTAAAATTCTGGGTGTGGCCACCTTAGCTCACCTGGCCTTCCGCCCTCCCTCCAGGAACCAAACCTCAGGAAGGCCCATCCCACCCCACTTTGCGGCCCCAACACCGGCCTCCCTTCCCCATCCTGCAGCAGACAGAGGGATCTTGTCACAAACCCTCATGAGCACACACAGCTTCCCGTGGGTCCCCACTGCGACAGGAGAAAGGCTCCGCCCCAGCCTGGCGCTTCGGCCTCCTCTCCTGTTGCTTCCTCCACCCTGTGCCCTCCATGACACTCACCCTGAACTTGGCTCCACCAAGGCCAAGGCCTCCAAACCCCCCAAGCCCTCGCACAGGCTGTGAGCCCCACCGGGAGCACAGTCTTCCACCTTGGTGGTCCAGGGACTCATCACCCTAGGTGGCAATCACCTGGCAGCACCCGGCACCCAGCACCCTGCTGGCCACAGCAGGTGGGAATGTCAGGGTGGAACAGAGCATACAGGACACACAGGAGCCCAAACTGCATCCCCCCCGCCCCCCTCAGATTTGGGCCAGCCTCCCTGCCCCTCTCACTTCAGGCTCCACGCTGCACAACCTGACCAGCTCCCTGTGTGACCCTGGGCAAGCCCCTTAACCCCTCTGTGCCACAGACTGACGTGCAGACTGAACGGGTTGCCGTACGTGGTTCAAGTGCTGTGCACGGTAACATCGTAACGGCTGCCAGTCTAATTATTAAAAAGCCCCTTTTATAGCATAACAAGTCCTGTCCCCCGACTTTTTCATGGCCAGAAAGAGCAAGGAGAAGAGAAAGCCACCAGCCTCACCCTGTGGCCCTGGCCCATTAGGTGGGGCTCAGGCAGAAGGACCCACTGCGGAGTTCACTGGGGTCAGTGGGACACCCAACAGCCAAGGGCCCCACCCCTGCTGGTAGGAGCATCCGACTTGGGGGCCTGCACCCCCGACCGAGCACAAGGCCCCAGGCAGAGGCTGGGCAGAGACTCAATGAGCTGTTCTCAGTCCCCACTGCCCCCGGGTCTCCAGAGCCAGCCAGGTAGCCTGGCAGGAAGATTCTGTTCACATTCTCGGAGGCCCTCGCTGAGGCCACAGCGTCTGGACAAAGAGCATTCCCCCCCTTACACACCCCCCATGTCATCCGGGACCTGCACTGTCATGGTACTCCTCCCTTTAGAAGGGCCATCAGCACCAGCTCCCAGGCTGCCCTGGCCCTGTGCTGTGGGCATTCCGCGGGTCTCCCCAGACCTCCAGACACAAAGTCCGTGCCCCCTGAATGCCACCATGCGTCCCTGTCCACGGCCCTCCAAGGCCTGGCACGGGCTGGATGGAGGGCTTTCCGGGGACAGTCTCCGAGATGGGCGGCAGGCGGCCACCTGGGCCTCTAGTTTTCTCATCTCTCCTGGCAAGATCAGCCACTGTTCCCTGGGTGGGTGCACACACAGACCCCTCCCAGACAGAGGAGAGTGAACGGGGAGGGGGGAAGTGGCCCAGGACGGAGCACCCGCGGTGCCAGCAGGAGATCCCAGGGCTGTGACCTTCGACAGGTCCCAGAGCGTCTCTGAGCCTCAGTTTTCTCCTCCCAAAAGGAGGCTGAAGCCCTAGGGAGAGCTGGACTCCGCCCTCCCCAGCCCTCCTCCCTTCTGGGGATTCAGCAATCTCCCTGCGGGGTAAACAGGAAGGCCAGGAGGGAGAGCCCGGGGCAAGGGGAGGAAGCTGCCCTGGTGGGGAGAGGCCTGCCCCAGCCCCAGACTGAAGGGGACCAGCCCCTGGGGAGCCTCCTAGGACCGAGAATGAGAAGGCAGAGCAAGAGGAATGCCAGCTGGGCCACTTCTTGGCCGTGTGACCTTGGGTAGGGCGATGCCCCCCTCTGAGCCTCAGTTTCCCCGTAAGAATCAGGCGGAAATGGAACTGCTGCCTCCTAGGAGTGACCACGGCGACCCACGAGAAGGACGCGGTCTGGGTCCACCCCGGCACCCCGAGGGGGCTGCAGAGGGCTGGCCGCCGCGCGCCGACTGAACGGGGGCTGCGCGAGGCGCTCTCCGCCGGCCGGTCCCGGGCAGGCGCGACCCCGCAGCGCCCGACCGCCGCCCGCGTCCCCCTCTCCGCGCCCGGGCCAGGGTCGCAGGGCGCAGCGCCCCGCCTTCCGGAAGGCGGCCGGCCTCGCGCCCCGCGCTGCCCCGGGCCCGATCCGACCTCGGCGGCCGAGCGGGGCGCGCCCGCAATGACCGCAGCGACCCGGCGCGGGCCGCGGGACCCCCACGCACCACCCCCGCGGGACCCGGTCCCCGCCCCCGCCGCCGCTCACCGGGGCCGACTTGGACGCAAGCGTGCGAGCCCGCCGGGCAGTCGCGCCCATTGCCGCCGCGGGCCCGGCTCAGAAGGGGCTCCGACTCCGCCATGGGGTCTCCGCGCGCCGCCGGGACCCTCGCACACGCTCGGGAGGAGAGCGCCGAGCTCCACCGCGCAGGCGCAGTGTCCCCGCCCCTGGAGTTCGCGAAAAGTGAACAGCACTGTGACGTAGGGGAGCCCTTCGCTTCCAGCCAATGGGAACGGAGTTCTTGAGTGTGAAGGCGGGGCTTCCAGGGAGAGGCGGGCCCTGAGGACCCTCCGAGGCCCCGGAGGAGCGCGTTCTCTCACAGAATGGTACCGCCCAGTCCCCAGCCCTCAGCCAGCCCTGGAGCGTCAGAAATGCAGAGGCCTGGGCCCTCCCAGACCGACTGAACCTGCAGCTCTGGGGGCAGGGAGGGCCTAGGATGGGCTTTGCATGTGAGCTGGTATGGAGGGGTGACCGCAAAGGACATCTCCCAGCACGGAGCTCTGATAATGGCATTGGGAAGACTGAATTTATTTGAGGGCGAAGTTTAAAAGACAAATGACACACTTGAGAAAATGACATGTATGAAAGCGTTCGCAGCGCGGATAAAGAGCGTGTTTTCTGGGCCTGCTGGGACCCATTGCCACACTCTTGGCTTAAAGCAGCTCCCGTTTTAGTTTCTGTCCGGCCCGGAGGTCAGAGGTCCAGCGGCGCCAGGTGCTCATCCCAGGGCCGCGCAGGGCCTAAGTCAAGGTGGCAGCGCCTGGAGCAGGCTCAAGCAGGTCCTGGCAGAATTTACTGCCATTGGGCTTAGGACTGAGGTCCCCACCGCTGAAGGCTGGCCAGGGGACATTCTCAGCTCCTAGAGGCCACTGCATCTCTTCACTCATGGCCCCTCCATCACCAAAGCCATCAAGAGCGCATCGCATCCTTTTCATGCTCCGAATGCGAGGCTTCGGAATTCCCTCCGAGATCTTCCTGGCTTTGCCTGTGGCCACATCTCTTTGCTTCCAAGGGCTCGTGCAATTACACTGGGCAGCCCGGATAACCGGGGATCATCTTCTTCTAGTATTTAAGATCAGCTGATTAGTGACTTGAATTACATCTGTAAAATCCCTTTTGCCGCTAACCTATCATAACTACAGGCCTGATGCCAGTGGGTGAAGGTCATGGGGGCCAAAATTCCGCCTCCCACCGAGCTCAGAAAAGTCAGTTAAAAAAAAAAAAAAAAAGATTAAATTCTCCGTAGATAGGAACGGAGCAAAGAACATGAGCCAGAAGTTCACAAAAGCCCACCAGAGTGGCTTGGTTGATTGAGCATCATCCTGTGCAACAGCGGGTTGCTGGCTCAACTCCTGGTCGGGGCACATGCCTGGGTTGCAGTTGCAGTCCCTGTCGTGCCCGTGCAAAAAGGCAGCCGATGTTTCTCTCACTTTCTGAACATGTCCTCCGGTAAGAATTGAAAAAGTAAAAAAAAAAAATTTTTTTAATAAAAAAAAATTTTGAGTTCACAAAAGAAAATATATCAACAATGAATGCGTGAAATAAGCTCTGCCTCATTAGAAGAAATGCTGATTAAAATAACGAGCCCTAGCCGGTTTGGCTCAGTGGCTAGAACATCAGCCTGCAGACTGAAGGGTCCCGGTTCGATTCCAGTCAGGGGCACATACCACAGTTGCAGGCTTCTCCCTAGCCTGGGCCCTGGTTCAGGGAGAGTGCAGGAGGCAACCAATAGATGTGTTTCTCTCATATTGATATTTCTCTCTGTCTTTCCTTCTCCCACTCTCCCTAAAAATCAATGGGAAAATATCCTCAGGTGCGGATTAAAAATAATATATATATATATATGCCTAATATGCAAAGTGTCCCCTCTGGAGTACAACGGGGAGACTGGGAGTTTGATCGCTTGCTATGACATGCGCTGACCACCAGGGGGTGGCACAGAGTGAAGGAAGGCCCTGGCCGGCAGCCAGAAAGCCCCAATCAGCCCTGATCGCTGCCCAGGCCTAGGGACCCTACCTGTGCACAACTTTTGTGCACTGAGCATCTAGTAATAATAATAACAATGAGATCGGTGAGCACATCAATTGGCTAAGGTTTGAAAGATGATAATGCTCAGAGGGCTCAGAGGGCTCAGAGAGCCAGGGTGTGACTAGCCACGGGATGTGTTCATGGTTTGATTTTAATTTTAACATTTTTAAAACTTGACAAAAGTAAGATATTTTTATTCCAAAAAAGGAATTAATAGATGCATGCAGCTCTTAGCAACAATGGCCCATCCCCTAAGGACTTGTCTTACTGCAATTAAAGAATTCCCTCGATGTTTGCTGAATGCACAGTGTACGCAATTGCCCCGACTGCATGGTGTTGGTGTTGAGGATGGTGTAAATACAGGGGGCTAACAGGCTCTCTCACCAAAGGGGGGGGTGGAAATTAACTAGTGGGGAGGGGCCCGGCTTGGCCCATAGGAGGGCCAGCATATTGTCCCTGGTGCAGCCAGACTGTCCCCAGGATGCAGACAGATGCCCTCTAGGCTGTGTCCATCACTAAGCTTTCAGTCAGTCTGCCTGGTACTTAGGGGTGCCTGCAAGGAGAGAAAGGGCTCGTGGGGCCCTCTGGGCAGCTGGGTCCTCACAGCAGGCCCCTGTGTGGGTCTCCTGGGCACTGGGGCACTGTCCGGCTCAGCCTCAGGATCACGCCCTGTCACAGCCGGCAGTGTCGAGGGATCGATGCTGGTCTGGAGGTGAAACCAGAGAGACGTCTCACTGGCCCCTATGTGACGGTGACAAATAACCCCAAGCTCCACGGTTTAAACAGCACTTGTTATCTCCCATTTTGCTGAGACGGGACTCCGAGTGTGGCTCAGCCGGATGCCCCCGGCGCTGGGTCTCTCACAGGCCCGATCACGGTGTGGGCCTGGGCTGCAGCCATTCCCAGGCTCCGTGGATCCAGGCGTGCTCCTCCGAGAGGCCGCCCTCAGTTCCCAGCCGCAGGGGCCGCTCCATGGGGCAGCTCAGGACACGGCAGCCGGCTCCGTCAGAAGGAACAAGCGAGAAAAGCCAGAGGGAGCGGACTAACAAGATGGGACTCACCATCCTTCATAACCTAATCTCGGAAGAGACATCCCATCACTCGTGCCATGTTCCGTTTGTGTGAGGCGGGTCAGCAGGCCCAGCCCCCTTCAAGGAGAGGGAACCACATCCCACAAGACCACCAGGAGGTGGGGACCCTTAGGGGTCATCTTAGAAGGCTACCTACCACCATAGGTGACAAGAAAGGCTTTGTTTTCGTGTTCATGCCTGCCCCCTTAAGAGCATCTGCCACACCACGATTCTCATCCGGGTCTCCCATCTGCCCTGTGAGCTAAGACAGAGGTCCCTCTCCCCGTGACAGATGAGGAAACTGAGTCTGGAGGGGCTCCGTGTTGCCTCACCCAATGGGCTGGAAGCACCATGTCTAAGAACAGCCCTGCCCCCCGTCAATGGAGGCCAGGAGCACAGGACCTGCTCAGGAGAGGAGGAAGCCCAGCGGGCAGCGCGCAGCACAGCAGGCCTGGGAAGGGCCAAGCTGGGTCCTGGCACGGGCTGGCCCTGCAGTCATAGAGCAGCAGCTTCCGCCTGCAGCTGCGGCCAGCCCGGAGGGAGGACCCAGCAACGTCACAGCCAGTGGTTTGCAAAGCAGCTGAGAAAGGGGCTCCTTGGCAGGAAGTCCAGTGCCTGCCCTGCCCCCAGGCAAGAAAACAAGCCTGAGATTCATTAGGGCACAGGGTCCTCCTCTCCCCTCGCCGCGCCCCCCCCTCCCCCGCCCCTCACAAGGTGTCCCTTGGAGCCTGCAGTGGAGAAAGGCGTCCTCTTGGTGGGGATAGACACTGTCCGGTTCAGCCTCAGGACCACTCCCTGTCACAGCAGAGCCACTGGGAAGGCTCCCTCAGCACAGAGCCCTTCCTCCCCAGATACCCAGCCAGAGGTTGCACCACACTTGGTTGGAATGCCAGCAATGCTCCCTCGGCTCCCAAGCATGTGCTCCGCGCTTTGGGCAAAGTGCCAACCACCGCCCTGTTCGGTTCCCACTTTGTTTTTTAGGGGGAAACTTCCTGGTGAGGCTGTGGGGGTGCAGAGGAGATCCCAAGAGGGGCCACTGTCCTCACCACCCGGAGGCACCGGCCATCACCGGTCAGGCACCCTGGGCCTGCTCCTCACTCTCGTCATGTTCATTTCCTTCCTGGTGCATCCGGCCACCGGGGCTGGGTTTCCTCGTCACGAGCAGGGAGCATGTGCCCATGTGGGTCTTTGTAACGGTAGCATCAGGGCTTTTATTCAATCATCACGCATCTATTGAGCGCCTACTGCATGCCAGGAACTGAGCGAGGCCCTGCGAACTGATACAGAGAGTGCTCAGATGGATTCTAAGAGCACGTGGAACAACGTAAAAATCACCCAGCCGCCCAGTCACGTGGGGAAAGCATGGGCCCCGAATCCTTCAGATCTGAGTTCACACCCCGCCCCACCCCCATCCTCAGGCCTCTGTTTCCACCCCCATGAAGCGGGGTTTGCAGCAAGATGGGCACACAGTAGGGCCTCATCCTCCCTGCCCCCTCACCCACTTCCTTTCACACCGTCTCTGGAGAAGAATGAGCCAGTGTTTTAGGGTCACAAAGGATTCTCAGATCCCTCACACATCAGCCCCGAAGCTGCCCCGAGAGCAGCTCAGCAGTTGCCCTGCTGCTGCTCTTGGGAAAACGGAGACTCAGAGAGGCCACGTGCTCTGTCCCAGGTCACACCGTGAGTGGGGGGCGCAGTGGGCACGCAGCCTGGCCCGGGACCGGAGGGACACCATGTCTCAGAACACAGGCCACGAGCCGGGGCCTTGGCGAGCAAACCCATGCCCTGGGGACAAGTGTGTGGAACACCGTATGCTTCCCAGGCCACACGGGCTCCATGCTATTTCCAGTTCTCTCACGTGACACAAGCAACAAGAATCTGGGGAGACCCGACCATTGCTGTGTTGGGAACTGAGCTTGTGGTGGGAACTAAGTGGGGGGAGGGGGGAGGGTGATGAGGGTCAGCAGGGTGGAGGCGGGAGAGCGGAGGGCTGAAGGCCGAGCCCAGAGGCCTGGGGGGTTGGGGTGCAGCTCAGAGCAGAAGGCCCACGGGGAGCCTA